TATGAAAACTACCTGGTAAGGAATTTAAAAGAACATTAATTAGGCAACTTCAATGGATTCTGAGAAATATCCACAAAACTACAGACAAAGTCAAGGAAAACACAGACAAAACTATGGAAAATTTTAGGAAACAAACGGACAAAATAACTGGGAAAAAATGGGAACCATACAAAAATAGCAATTAGAAAGCCATACGATTAACACTAAGACTCATTCAAAAATAGGTAATACACTGAAAGCACAAAGAAATAGAACTGAGTCAATAGAAAGACAAATTAGTTACAAGGATCAGTAACTGGGAAAAAAAAAAAAAATAGCCAGGTGATAGAAATGATGCTGGAGATCATATGATAGAATTTTGTAAGACCAGAGATTTATTCATTGCAAATATTGTTTTCAACAACATAGAGGGTAACGATTTACTTGGACCTTGCCACATTAAAACTGAATTGACTACATCTGTGAAGAAATACAATGAAAAAGCTTAATATCATCGGCAAAAATAAGGCTAGAAAAAAAATTAAGTAAGGCTAGAAGCTGGCTGTGGAACATACCATCAATTGCTTCTACGCAAGTTCAGGTTGAAACTGAAGAAGAAAAACAAGTCCATGAGAGCTAAAATACTACCTTGACTATATCCCACTTGAATTTAGAGACCATATCAAGAACAGAATTAACAGGTTAGACTCTTATGACCAAAGACCAGAAGAGTTGTGGGAGGACACCAAGAGCATCATAAATAAATAAAACAAAGGTCATTAGAAAGAAAGAAAAGGCCAAATGGTTGTCACAAGAAACTCCAACTTGCTCTTAAGCATAAAGAAGCTAAAGCAACTGGAAGAAATAAAGAAGCAAAATAGATGAACAGAAAATTTCCATAGGCAGTTCAAGAAGACAGTCACGTATTATAATGAAATGTGCAAAGAAAGACCTAGAGCTAGAAAACCAAAAAAGAATATCCACAGCATTTCTGACACTGAAAAACTGAAGAAAAAACATCAAGCTTCGACTTGCAGTTTTGAAGGATTCTATGGGCAAAATATTATGATGCAGGAAACACAGAAAGAAGATGGAAGGAACCAACTGAGAGGGAAGGATCTTCACATCATGGATCATTCCCACCCCCTCTGTATATGGGGTTGATAGGGACGGGTACCTAAAATTGGAGGGACTATAAAGGCACGAAGTAACTGGCTTACAAGTTTTCAAGGAGTTTCGTTTCAGAGTGTGCAAGGGACGGTAAAAGGCCCACTGAATAGTTTTCATCTTGTCTGGTGAAAGGAGATGGAGATAAGATTCATTCACATGATTCAATAGTGAGTAACTGTTATCATGACTAGTTAATTGCTATTGTCACAACTGTAAAGGTAGAAGTTTTATAACAAAAAGGGAGTAGTTAATTTTATAGTCCAGGAACAGAGAGGACCCTAGGATCATCAAGGAAGAAGAGCATGAGCGGAATGTGGGACCCTATCCAGAGAAGCAGCGACATCAGAGTGGAGGCAGAGATGAGGACGTGGAGAGATTGAAAACTAAGGACTCTAGACTCATGGAAAGAGAAAAGCTGTCTGCTGGCAGCCAGAATGTGCTCTTGAATTGTTTAAATGATTATATATTCCTGAGTGTTTTTGTGTACATCTTAAAAAAAAAAACACAAAAAACGGAATAGAAGCAAATATTGTTGAATGATGATGCACTGACAGGATTGTAATCATTGCAATGAAACAAAATACAATAGGATGAGTGTAAAATCAATGTTTTCCCATATAAACTATCATTCAATTCACAATAAAAACTTAAAAAAAAAAAAAAAAGATGGAAGGAATACACAGTCACTGTACCAAAAAGAACTTGTCAATGCTTTCAATGCTTAACTATTTCAAGGGGTAGCACTGAAGAAAAAAGTCCAAGCTACACTCATGGCACTGGCAGAAAACAAAACTCTAGGAATTAACACAACATAAATTGAAATGTTTCAAAACACTGATACTCACTCATATATGCCAAGAAATTTGGTAAACAGATTGGAAGAGATCCCTATTTGTGCCCATTCCAAAGGAAGGTGAACCAACAGAATGTGGAAATCATCTAATAATATCATAAATATCACATGCTAGTAAAGTTTTGCTTAAGATAATTCAAAAACAGTTGCAGCAGTACATCAACAGGAAGCTGCCAGAAATTCAAGTCAGACTCAGAGGAGGACATGGAACTAGAGATACCATTGCTGAATCAGATGGATCTTGGCTGAAAGCAAAGGAATGCCAGAAAGATGTTGACTTGTGCTTTATTGACCATGGGAAGGAATTCAACTATGTGGATCAAAACAAATTATGGTATCAGGACTGATTGTGAGCGTTGGAAATGGAAAGGTAGACATTTTGTAGCAAGGAGGGGAGTGATTAACTTTGCCGTCTACAAGCAGAGGTCCCTGGGACCATCAAGAGAGAAGAGCAGAGAGCAGGACCCTACCCAGAGAAACAGTAACACCAGAGATGGAGGCAGAGACGATTACGTGGAGAGATGGAACAGCTGGGGACTTTAGACCCAGAGAGGGAGAGGGGCTGTGTGCTGACAACCGGGGGGTGGGGGGGCAGGCTTGTAGGGTATACCCTTTGGTTGGTTAATGATGCATGGAGGAGATTGAAACCATGGCAATGAAACAATATATGATAGGATGGATGTAAAACTAATGTTCTCCCATGTAAACTATCACACAATTCACAATAAAACATTAAAAAAAAACAACAACAACAATGGATAACATTGCAAAGAATGGGTATTCCAAAACACTTAATTGCGCTCATGTGGAAACTGTACATAGACCAAGAGGCGGTCATTAGAACAGAACAAGGGGTTACAGAATGGTTTAAAATCAGGAAAGGTGTGTGTGAGGAGTGCATCCTTTCACCATACCTATTCAATCCAAGAAAATGGATTATATGAAGAAGAATGTGGCATCAGAATTAGAGGAAAACTCATTAACAACCTGCCAACAGGTAGATGACACTACCTTGTTTGCTGAAAGCCAAGAGAACTTTAAATACTTACTGATGAAGATCAAAGACTACAGCCTTCAGTATGGATTGTACCTCAATATAAACAAAACAAAAATCTTCACTACAAGACCAATATATAACATGATAAATGGAGAAAAGACTGAAGTTGCATTTTTCTTGAACTGACAATCAACAATAATGGAATCAGCAGTCAAGAAAGCCAACAAGGTATTATACTAAACAAATCTGCCACAAAAGACCTCTTTAAAATGTTAAGGAACAAAGACATCACTTTGAGGACTAAGGGACACCTGACCAAAGCCATGGTGTTTTCAACTGCCTAATATACATGTGCAAAGCCATTTGAACTGCAAGATCAGCGGTTCAAGCTCACCAGCTGCTCCTTGGAAACCCTACACAGCGTTGCTATGGGTCAGAACTGACTTGACGGCACTTAACAACAATATACACGTGGGAGTCCTGGTGTGGTGCTATGGGTTAATGTGCCAGACTGCAAAGCCATTTGAACTGCAAGGTCAGCAGTTTAAGCTCACCAGCTGCTCCTCAGAAACCCCATAAAGGGTCACTATGGGTCGGAATCAATTTGACGGCACTTAACAACAGCAACAATATACATGTGAAAGTTGGACAATTATTAAGGAAGACTGCAGAACTGATGCAGGTGAATTACGGTGGTTGGTGAAGAATATCGAAAGTACTATGGACTACAGAACAAACAAATCTGTGTTAAAAGAACAGCCAGAATGCTCCTTAGAAGTAAGAAGGGTGAGACTTTGTCTCTCATACTTTGGACACGTTGTCAGAAGGGACCAGTTCCTGGAGAAAGGTATCATTCTTGGTAAAGTGGTGGGTCAGCAGAAGAAAGACACTCAATAAAATGGACTGTCACAGAAGCAGTAGCAGTGGGCTCACATTTAATAACTGTGAGGATAGCACAGGACTGGGCAGTGTTCTGTAATGTTGTGCATAGGGTCACGATGAGTTGGCATGGACTGAACAGCAGCTAACAACAACAAAGGTAGAATCCAGCTATCTTTTATTAACCCAGTTATTAATACGATTTATAAAAATGTAAATCACTGCCATTCTTCTCATCTCTTCTTTGTTTGGAAAACAGGGTTCTTCTCATAAAAAAATTTGATAACTATGTTAACTTTCAATGGCCTTCCTATTTTGAAGTGAATTATTAAATACTTTTAAACTTCTCATTTTTAATTTCTAGTACGGTACATATCCACATATATATAACTTAGATAAACAAAAGCTTTTTAAAGTCCTCAATAATTTTTAAGAATGTAAAAAGGTTATGATTCAAGGGCTGTATTTTAAAGATATAATACATACAAAACTCCTAACTATCACCTATTCCCTCTATACCTTAGATAATATTATTAGAAGTGAACAATGTCAAAAACAAAGGGTGTTCTATGTGGTCTACCAGAGTTGTCTGTCCACAGCTTTAAAATATTTTGAAAGACAAACAGAAGTATTTAATTTTCAAGAATGTTGCATAGTAGTTGTCCAATCCGTGAGAACTCATATCTTCAGTAGGTGGAATATTTAGATAAGAAGCAGACTTCGCTGATCTAAAACAATTATACCACCAACACCCCCCTTTTAATTTGCAGAAAGAATAAAGCAGTGCCAACAGAAATCATCAGAAAAATGAAGAATCTGCAGGAAAGTGAATGGTTTGTTGTTCTTTACTGAACTAGTGATTCCTTCAAAGGGGATTGTATGGCCAAACTATTAAATAAAATGCAAAATTTCTTTATTATTGAGGGAAAAAGAGAGAACTAGAAGGAGGGGGAGTATTTCACACAAGGGAGAGGATTTGTGACTCAAAAATAACTAAAAACAAACTATGTGTTATTAACCTTGTGATTAGAGCAGAGAAGAAGGCAGAGTGATTTCAGAACAATTAAGGCAAGTCAGGTTAGATGGAAGGGAAAGTAAAACTACAGAAATACTCAGGCTTACCTGTCTACGCCATCCCAGCGATATCCAGGCCAGATATTGAATCTGTTGGGAGGAGGTGCTGGGCCACTGTATCGAGGTCTCACTACAGAGAGGAGACAGGAAAAAGTAGTTGGTTACTTGTATAATACAGTTTAGAGCTGGATGGTGGCACTGGTGGTGGTTGTATGCCATGGAATTGGTTCTGACTCACTGAGACCCTGTAAAGGGTCTCCAAGGCTGTACATCTTTGTAGATGCAGAAAGCCTCATCTTTCTCCCATGGAGCAGCTGGTAGATTCAAACTGCTGACCTTGCAGTTAGAGCCCAGCTCATAACCCACTATGCTACCAGGGCTCCTTTAGCGCTTGATAGCACTGGGGGAAATTTTTCACACGGAAGTAACTATTCAATTGGATCTAAACTCTCAAATACAAAGAATGAAAAATAGTCTGACAATGTCTTCTTTGCACCTATATCATCTCCATCTCTGATGGTTCCCTGAAGTCCCACCTTTCTTCTTCTTGTTCTCCTTGGCCTTATTCTTTTTGATAAAGTTGGCCATAGGGTCCCCATCTCTTTCTTGTTCTCTCAGCATCTTATCCAGGTCTTCATCATCAATATAGCGGGCCAGTGGCTTTTGCATCTCCTTCAATGCATCTTCCAAATTTTGTTGCTGCTGGCGGCTCTGAGCAAGCCTGGGCAAAATAACCAAAAGCGTATGACACTTTGTTGAACATTTCTATTTCGGCATTGAGATGGGTCACACTGTTACTACATTTGGAAACTCTCTTCTTTCTAGCACCCAAAGTCAAATACTGACATTTAGAATTCCTAGACTGAGTTCTAGAATTCCAACTGAAAGTGTGGCGTATGTTAAGTATTTCAGGAAGGAGACTCAGTACCCTGGGTTCCCTATTCCTGATGTCAGCGTTGAAGACAGAACAATGAAGGTGCTGGTCAGAGAGTCACTGGTGCCCTGCTTTCCCTTCCAGTGGCTCACTTACCCTTTTCCCCACTGGGCATACAGCTCATTTCTCTCCGTTTCTTTCTCGGCTTTTCTTTTTTGCTCCAAACGTTCTAGTTTCAAGTTCCTCTTACGGCCAGACTTATCTCGAAATACAGTTTCGGCATATTGGAATTCAGCTGCAAAGGGAAATTATACTTTTTTAGGCCATATTTTCCAATACCTATCCTTCCTCTTTGTTTCAATCTTATACATTCCGATCTGCAATAATTATCAATGGATATGGATTATACGCTTGATCAATTTCAGTATCAGAAATATTACTAATATAGGTGTAATCAACCATTTGAGATTCTGATGCTAAGGAAACTTGCAGCCAGACTACAAGTGGTTCCTACAAGTTTACAGGTGCAACTTGACAACCGTCCTGAGAAGTGACAGTTTTCAAGAAAGGAAAAAACCACGTACACCTACTGAGAAGTCAAAGCATAAAACCAGAGCTAAAATTTGACATCAATTGAAAGCTTACAAAGCAGGCACCATAAACTACATTTAAAAGGTAAACAAGTAAGTTAATTAGTCCAATGGGCTGAGTTTGGTCATGTTCCATCGACACCCACTGACCATGAGATGAGAGACAGAAGAAAGGACAGTCCTAAAGTTTAGGGAGATGTGTGAACCTCCGAGCCATGGACACTGACTGACCTAGCTCCTGGGGGCTACAGCTCAGAGTGAAGTATCCAGCTAGTCTGAAGTGCAGGGAGGAGAGCGAGAACTCCCAAACTTGCAGATAGTACTATCAGACCTAGCATGGATGGCTAGCTGACCAGAACTCAACCAGATGAAGATAAAGATGACTGATATTGTGAGGAAGTGTAAAATGCTACAATTTAATGAACTGAATCTTTGCTTATGGATGCAACTGCACAAAATTTCCAACCAGAATGGAAGGATTCTTCATATCAAGGAACATACTTGTTTCCTCAATGCACTGGGTGATAAAGATGAGATATTTAGACACTTGCTCTCAAAACTGAGGGCTATAAAGGCATGAAGTGGCTGGCTTACAAGCTTTCATGAATGGGCTGTTTCAGAATAAAAAGGGTAAGGTAGAATCCTCACTGAATAGTTTTCCTCCTTTCCAGATGGATCTGGTGAAAGGGGATAAGGGATGATGGTTTTAGGATTTTATGATTTAATTGTGAGTAATTGTTAGCAGGATTGTGATTGCCACAAGTATAATTGTAGAAGATGTGTAACTAAAAGGGGGAAATAGTTTATCTTTCATTTCAGGAAAAGGGGAACCCAGAACCATTAACAGTATGAGTGGCATGTAACATCCTACCTAGAAAAGCGGCCACAGCAGAGAGGGTGGCAGAGGCGGTGGCATGGAGAGACAGAGTAGCTGTGGGCTCTAGGCCCATGGACTGAGAAAGGCTGTGTGCCTTCCGGCAGGAAGTTAACTTGCAAAATATGCCCTTTAGACATTTTAATGGACATATATTTTTTGTTTTCTATGTGTACATGAAATATTTTTACTTTGTTGATTTGTGAAAAATAAGATGCAAAAGAAAAGCCACAGGGAGGAAGCAGGATAACTGTTGTTGCAGGAAGGGGACTGTAATCGTTTAGATGCAACAAAATGTATGCTTGGTTGAACATAAAGCTGATTATCTTGTCTGTTAACCTTTACTCAATTCACAATAAAAAGGGGGGGGAGGAGGTAATTAATCTAGATATGTCTCTACATGTTCACATTTTTACCTTCAAACTCCATGGTTTGCTGGTCCCGTTTCTTGAGCTCCTGCTGTTCTCGCTGTATGTCTGTTAACACCAACCCAGTTTTGGCTCCAGAGAACATGTGGGTAGCCTGTTCAATGAAAATGACAGCATCCAACATGAATGAGACAATGAGCTGATAATGTACACATTAGCTGCACTTTTGATGATCAGCAATAACCAAAGCACAAAAACCCCAGCTTTACAATCTCATTATTGATCACAGGACTTGCAAAATAGAAGAGAACAACAAAATATCATGAAAAATTAATAAGTCATACTACGTTACACAGCAGACAGATGTTGTTATTGAGTCATACTTGTAGAACTTGTTGAAATGGGGCATATTTTGTTGTGTATATTTTAGGCACAGTTTAAGATTTAAAAAAGAGTAAACTGAAACCAACCAGGTGTTAAATAAATGGCATGCTAACGGAGTATTAAAAGAAACCCTATACAGGGTCTCTGTGAGTCGGAATCGACTTGGCGGCACTTAACAACAAGGGAGTGCTAAGCATCTGTACATCTGACTTTTCAGCATACACCCTGCATACATGCAGATTAACTTTCATGTCACCTGATCAGAAACCTGTACCAAGCTTTACACCCTCTAATATAGACCCACACTGATAACATTATTCTATTTAAAAACCAAAAATTCAAGCAAATCTAAGATCTTTAAACTATGTCTACCTTTGAGGATAATAACAAAAGACATGACTAAATTACGACTTGCTCCTCATCCCCACTTCATAAAAGCCAGCAAACCAACCCACAAATGCAGTCCAACCTGACAGCCCTAAGCAATATACTAAATTGATACTACATTTCCCATGAACTACATAACCCACCCACTGCCACTGAGTTGGTTCTCACACACAGCAACCCTATCAGAGATTGTAAATCTTTTGAGGAGCAAACAGCTTCATTTGTCTCCTGATGAGTGGTTACTAGGTTTGAACTGCCAACCTTGGTAGTACTAGAGTTGTTGCTCTTGTTCTTAAGTGTCGTCAAATCAGTTTCAACTTATAGCAACCTAGTATAGTGGCTCCAAGGAGCAGCTGGTGGATTTGAACCTCCGACTTTGCAGTTCAAACCAACCTTGCGGTCCAGTGCAGTATCCTGCAGCACCACAGTACTAGCTATTGCCACACAATTACCAAGGACTCATAAGGACTTGTGTGTGTGTGCCAATTCAGGTTTCATCATCGATTTAAAACAAAAAAACAACAAAATGCTGACTTCTTTCCCAAAAGGCAGGATTCCTAAAGATAGTTTCATATTTTCATTGCCTCTCTTTAAGTTCTGGATACAGAGACCTCAAGTCCAACTCTGCGATTATAATTTCATAACAATAAAAACTCACTAACCCTGACTGACTGCTTATTTTGTCCCAGGCACTTTGCTAAGAATTTTACATACACTAATTCATTTAATTCTCACAATAACCTTATAAAGTAGGTATTATTATAGCCATACAAGGGACTTCATAAAGTTTGTGGAAACATGGAATTTAAAAATAACAGAATTTTTTCACAAACTTTAAGTCCCCTGGTATTTTACAGTGGCTCAGAAGCCAATGAGGCCTACAGATACTACATATGGTGTCCAAATTACGCAGATTCTAAGTGGCAGAATTAGGATTAGAACTTCTTATCAATTTGACACAAGGTTTATGCTCCTGGTTCCACCTTGCAAACAACAGCCCTCAGAGTTTATTCATATGAAAAGAAGTTCGCCTGGATGGATTAAAATTAGATTTGTGGAACTAAGAAAATATAAAGGCAGAAGCAATGCAAGTCTACCTGGGCTGGGTTCTGCCTTCAGAAAGAAGGAATGCACTCTGGAGGTCCTTTTAATTAAATCTACACTACTGAGAGCGTCCTCCTCCTCCTGTGGCTTGTATTCCTGGTACTTAGAGCTAGAGTTACTCTACAAGAAGGAAACGGCTCCTGAAAATCCCCACCTTCTTTTCAGGAGGCTGACTCCTCCGAGGTGGCGACAGATCAGAATCAGAAGATTTAGTCCTTTGTCTCCTTCTTGGTGGAGAGAGGTCAGAATCAGAGCTTTGGTGTCTGGGTCTGTTCCGTGGCGGGGACAGATCTGAACCAGAATCCTGGGGCCCTGGACTTTGTTTGCGTTGATGCCGTGGAGGAGAAAGATCTGAATCAGAGGCTTGCTGGCCATCCCTTCGGTAGGAAGATGAGTTCAAGGTATGACTCTGAGGTTTCCTAGGTGAAGAGCTTAAGTGATACCTCCTCTGGCTGGGGGAGGATTCTAGAAACAGAAGAACACATTAATCTCCTTGTTGGAATTGAAAAAGAAGAACTTACAAAGTCAGTGGTCAATATTCACTCAGTCCTCCTGGGAAAAAGTATCACTAACATAAACACAAGTATGTGGAAGAAGAGTTAAAGTCAGACACCACTTTTAAAACCCAAGTGACTCATGAACTGTCAGAAGTAGATGAAGTCTCAACATATTTATGCCACCTATAGAATGGTCAAAACCACTTACGCTCAGCTCTCAGTGATGCAGTGAGAGTTTGAATACCTAGAATACACTCTGATGCCTTCAAATTAAAGGATGACAGTGGGTCCTAATTCAAAAATTAAAATGGAACCTAGGGATACATATGGAGTAAACAAAACTTTCAGAAAGAAACATGACAAATCAGCTTCTCCTGAGGAGTGGTTGGTAGGTTTGAACTGCCAACCTTGGTAGTACTAGAGTTGTTGTTCTTGTTAAGTGATGTCAAGTTGGTTTCAACTCATAGCTACCCAGTATAGTGTTTCCAAGGAGTGGTTGGTAGATTTGAACAACCAACTTTGCAGATCAAACTTCCCAAGAAGCAATCTAGCATCACATATCAAGAATATTGAAAACGTTCATATTTAAAAACTATGATTCTACAAATCAACGTCTACTTAGCATTCTATGAAACTTATTTAGAAGTACTAAACTATCCAGAAAATCTACCTAAATGGAGATAAGGAAAAAATCCAAAATGGGGACAAAGGTTTAAGTATAAGAATATTCATTATCACATCATAAAAGCAGAAACTTAGGAAGAACCTAACATATGCAACATTAGGGAAATGATGAAGTCAATGGAACATCTATAATTAAAAATTATATTAACAGATTTTTAATATTGAAAAGATAACATTAAGTGAAAACCCAGGCATAAATACACATATGATATGTATTTACTCCTAGGGGGGTAAAAAAAAGACTGAAAGAGAACACTGATTACAATACTAAGCATGATTGCCTGTGAATAAGAGGACTTTGTGTGACCTTTTTCTGCTTTCTTACACATTTCTAATACTTTGGCAACAAGCATGGAACACTTTTATATGGGGTAGTGAGAATAAAAGGATATATAAGAACTTGCCTCCTGTCACTGTAATTTTTAAATTACACTGTCATTTTCATTCCTGAGCCTAACTTCTCACTCTTTCCTACAATATTCAAAAGTTCTCCCAAGAAACTACATGCTCATTTCTAGAAATCATAAATACCTATTAAAGCAAGTAAAAAGTCCAAATAAAAGCTCTTAGAGAATAAACCCTGTTTACCTTTAGAATCATGTGGCTTACTTCTAAAATGGGATTTTGCCTGCTTTTTTCGAGGAGGAGAGAGGTCCGAGGCATATTCATGTTTGCTGGTCTTTGGGAGTGATGAATGAGAGGATCCTGGCCCCTTCCAGTGTGGAGAAGACTTGCTAGTGGTTCTTTCTGAGGCTTTACTGCTTTTGGTTCTGGGCAGTGAAAGAGAAGCATTTGCAGACAAAATGGGGAGCTCATGGTGAGCCCTTCCAGGGGGATATGTATCTGAAGAATTATGCTGGGACCTCCGAGGAGGTGATATATCTGGGGAGTCATGACGAGTTTTCCTAGGAGATTTTTCTGAAGAAGTATGGTGATACTTCCTGGGTGGGGAAAGATCTGGGGAGTCGTGACGGGCCCTCCTGGGAGGGGAAGCATCTGAGGAGTCATGGCGGACCCTCCTGGGGGGAGATGAATCCGGGGAGTCATGGCAGACCCTCCTGGGGGGAGATGCATCTGGTGAGTCATGGCGGACCCTCCTGAGGGGAGATGCATCTGGTGAGTCATGGCGGACCCTCCTGGGGGGAGATGCATCTGGTGAGTCATGGCGGGCCATCCTGGGTGGGCAAGCATCTGCAGAGTCATGGTGGACCCTCCTAGTGGGAGACGAATCCAGGGAGTCGTGACGGAAATGCCTACGTGAGGCAAGGTCTTCAACATGGCCTAAATACAAATAGCAAAGAATCAGATGCCCACAAATACTCTGTCCCTGGCACCCAAAGTTTCTAAAAATCCCCCAGCAGCATGTATCTCCATACTACTTGGGAAGCCCAACAAGATTTGCACAGGTCTTTTGCTTAAAAACAACAAGTCAACACTTGCAACTATCTTAAGAATATTGTTGTTAAGTGCCATTGAGTCAGCTCCAACTCAAGGCAACCCTATATAGGGTTTCCAAGGAGTGGCTGGCAAGTTTGAACTGCCAACCTTGCAATTCAAACTGACTTTGCATTCGAGTGCTTATCCCACAGTGCTACACCTAGACTTCACCTTAAGAACAGTTTTTTATTTGCTTACAAAGACATAAGTTTGCAAAGCTTTTTAAATACACTTTTCATACTATACACTGTGTGGTGTAATGAATTATTTAATATGCCTCTTTTAGCCTTAGTATTTGTAACTCCCAACAAATGACTCTTCCTAATGGGCCTAAGTAAGAGAAGGTGGGAGACGACACTGAGTATGTTATATGATTCAGCTGTGAATGACTGCTAACAGAGTTGTGATTGGAAAAAACCTGGAACTCTAACAGGATATAAAAGGCATCTCAAAACAGGAGGGGGATCTCACGATCATCAAAGAAGAGGATCTTGGAGTAGAACGTGTCCTTTGGAGCCCAAGGGTCCATGCATTGAACCTCCTCAACCCAGGGACAAAAAGCTACGGCACCTGAGGAGCGGCAAAAGAGTACCACCAGCAGAACCAAGAGCCAGAGCACCAAACAGAGCCGTGGACTTGCCAGCCCCTGGAGCAAGTACAGCTGAGACTCTGGACAGGAAGCTTGCTTGCAGAGTGAGGCGCCTCTAAGCACTTGATTGGGGGAGCTAGGTTTGCTGACCCATGGAGCTAGAGGCTTATGGTGGAGTAGTGTGTCCTGGGAGCATTTATCAGCAGCCCTAAAAGAGCTTTATAACATTGCCTGGGCAGTGAGGAGAGCTGTCCTGACTGGAAGAACTATGCCCTGAGCATTTCTGATACTGAGTTGTAACATGTTAACTTCCCTAATAAATGTCAAAACCTTGAGTATGATATCTGAGTTCTATATGGCTACTGCAATAAATTATCAAACCCAACTGAGTAGTGTTATGGGATGGATGGTCTGCTGCCTTGGTTTCAGCTGCAAGGTCGGCAGTTCAAGCTCACAAATTGCTCCTCGGAAACCCTATGCAGGGACACTATAAGTCAGAACCAACTCAATGGCACTTAACAACAAAGTAAGCAGAGTAGGTATCTATTTTACAGACAGGAAAGTAAGTCTCCGAGGAATTAAGTGATTTCTTACTGATGGTCACTAAGCAACTGCAATGAAGACACAGGCTAGAACCCAATTCTAACTCTCAATCCAATGTTCTTTCTAAAATTTTACTTATGCAGAGTTACAAGTCATAGGCTTATATTGATACTTAGCTTAGATGTTTTATAGTTTATATTTAATATAAAATATAGCACAGTTCATTTAAATTGTGCCTCATCATAGTAAAATGCTGTTTAACAATTTAATCCATGTCTTTGTGCTCCTTCTTAAAAGGGGAAAAATAAATCACCAGAAAGGGGAAAAAAAAAAGCTCAAGCTAGTACATGCCCAGTGTTTTATATAGATTATCTCATTTCAACTTCCCCAAGTCTAGGACAGAAATATTACCCTCATTTTACATCTGAGGAAGCTGATACTCAGACTTAGTAATTTGCCAACCTGTTCATAAGTGATGGAGTGAATATCCCAACCCAGATCTGTGTGACCCTGGAGTCCATGTGCAATGCTAAAGAATGTCGAATTGAGGAAGGATTTTAAGACTTTCTGTTTTGAAACGCATAATAGAACGAAATGTTTATAGCAGCCTGGGAAATTTCAAAATCCAGTTCTTCCTCTCTTTTGATTCTTGTCACTAAACTCTATTGCCCAAACAAACAAAAAGTTGCATTGCTAAGTTATTAAGTGTCAACGAGTTGGTTCTGACTTATAGCAACCCTGGATAGGGTTTCCAAGGAGCAGGTGGTGGATTTGAACCTTGCAGTTCAAACCGACCTTGTGGTCCAGTGCTACAATGCCACATCAGGACTCCAAAAAGTTGGACCAGACTCCAAAAAGTAAATACTAAATGGATGGCTGATCCCAAAGCTAAGTTAACTCCTTTACTTTGGAAAATAAGCCTACCCAGTTGGAATGCACTCTATAGAGAAAAATACTGACAATACACCTGACCCCTTGACGTTGATAAATTCCATGAAAATTAGAAAAAGAAAAAAAAAAACATAAAGTAAAAGTCAGATCAGTGGAGTGTTTCCAGTCAAAATGGGGGTAGACCAGCCAGACTGAGGCAGAGAAAAGTTGGTGGAAAAATTCCAGTTTTTCACAAACGTTTTGAAGGCCCCTTATAAATGTGTGGGCATGTAGGATATGTAGGAAAATGTATATGCATAAATACAAATGTGTTTGTATACGTATCACTTCTTTGACCTAAAATGTGGAGAACAGACAGATTCCTTCTGGAATAGGGATTATAGAGAAGCTGGAAATACAGGTGTAAGATAAGGCTGAACATATGGATATTCTGAAAATGATGTTATCATTAATAAAGTTAAACAATTATCTACTGAAAATTACTGAGGCAATGGTGATCACTAATCTATGTATTTTTCACTGATCAGAACTATATAATAATTAACCTAATTACACAGAGTACTCTTGTTGTTAAGTGCCATCCAGTTGGGTGAAGAGAAATCCTGTTTAAGAGATAATTCTTTCACCCTCTCTGTGTGGATAAGCATCAAAGAGAAAATGAAGCTGATCAACTATCAAAAAGCAAGAGCTTTATGTATAAGAAATAAAGCAAAATACCAAGTCGCTGCTGTCAAGTCCATTCTGACTCATGGCGGCCCCACGTGTGGTGAGAAAGTAGAACTGACTTTCATACAATGTTCTTGGCTGTACACTTTTTTCATGGAAGTAGACTAACTGGCCTTTCTTCCATGGTACCATTGGGTGGGTTTAAACTGCCAATCCTAGTCTGGCTGTAGAGCACAAACTATTTGTGCTACCCAGGAATCTTAAAGGAATAAATACAGGCAGCAAAAAAACCAGTAAGCTTCTACTGGTCATACAGAACCTGAATGACAGCTGGGACCAGGGCTGTGGATTCAATGGATTACATATTTCACACTTCAGCACCCATAGTAGGCACATCTACCTACCAAAATTTTGAAAAGCCCCAAGTGATGATTTAACAAAGAGGACTGGGCTGTGAGAATCAAATGTCATATTAGCAAACGAAATCACAAGATAAATAAGACTAGGCTTATGCCCTCAAAATTATAATCCAGTAGAGGCAGATATAGCAAGCAAATGCTTTCATCCAATTCTCAGTGGTTCTGAAAAAGGAGGAGAGGGGAGGCTTAACTTATTATTAGCAGCCTCTAAGATAAGCACTGGACTGATAACCACATGGTCAGCAGTTTTGAGGTCAGCAGCTGCCCCATGGGAGAAAGAGGAGGCTTTCTGATCCTGTAAAGATTTACAGCCTTGCAAACCCTATGAATCAGAACCAACTTGATGACACGTAACAATGACAACAAGCACAAGTTGATAAGTAGAGGTGATACACTGTAAAATCCAGTATTTAGGGGACAAGAAAGATTTAGTAATATAAAGAAAAAGGATAGAGAATATTGGTCCTTCACTCACACATAAGTGTCTTCATTCTAGGAGAGGATGTTGTTAAGTACAGCAGTCAGGTCGGTTCCTGTATGTGTACAGCAAGCCTGTATATGCTTCCTGAGGCTATAAATCTCTTAGGGAGCAGAAAGCCTCATCTTTCTCCCATGGAGTGGCTGGTGGACACGACCTGCCTGGGCTTATTCTACAGAGCCACCATGCTTCCATTAGAAGACAATGTTGTTGATGTTGCTGTCGTTGTCAAATGCCATCCAACTGGTTCTGACTCATAGCAACCCTGCATAGGGTTTCCTAGGTTTTAAATCTTGAAGAAACAGAAAGCCTCATCTTTTTCCCACGGAGTGGCTGGTGGGCTCTAACTGTCGACCTTGTGGTTCACAGTCCAATGTTTATCGTACAGAGCTACCTCACTCCCCTAAGAGAAGATATACGTTGCCAAAGTCTACAACCTTTGTTCCTCTGATTTGTGCAAATTCCTCCCAAAGTCCTGCCTATATACCAAATACTCTTGAATGTGGGGAAGAGGATTGGATACTGAAAGGCCACCAAACAAATCCCTTCGTGGACTCAGTAACTCTAGGACTAAAATATAAGAGAAAGAGCAATACCTGGCCTCTCAGATCACAGAGCTCTCTTCTTGTTGTTGTCACACAACTAACTGCCTTTGAGTCAGTTCTGACTCATAGCGACCCTAACTAAGCTTTCCAAGGAGCAGCTGGTGGGTTTGAACTGCTGACCTTAAGGTTCAAACCGACCTTGCAGTCCCGTGCTTATCGGTGCTGGACTAAACCAGAACTCCTTACTACCTGTTGTTGTTGTTGCCGTTGTTAAGGGCCGTCAAGTCAGTTCCGACTCATAGAAACCCTGCATAGGGTTTGGAAGAGCAGCTGGTGAACTTGAATCGCTGACCTTTCAGTTCAAACTGACTTTGCACATTACCCTACAGCTCCTTCCTACCCCTGCTGTTGTTACTATTGTACCACCAAGTTGGTTTCAAACCATAGCGACCCTGTAGAGGGTTTCTGAGGAGCGATTTGTGAGCTTGAACTGCCAGCCTTGCTGTTCAAACGACTTTGCTGTCCAACACATTATCCCACAGTGCCACACCAGAACACTTACTACCTCTGTTGTTGTTGTTGTTATGTGCCGTGGAGTCAGTTCCTACCCATAGCGACGCTGTACAGGGTTTCCAAGGCTGTAAATCTTTACAGGAGCAGAAAGCCTCATCTTTCTCCCACGGAACAGCTGGTAGTTTCGAACTGCTGACCCTGGGGTTCGCAGCCCGATTCGTTACCACTACGCTACCAGAGCTCCTTCCTTACTAACTCTAGGAAGTCTT